CCCTGTGTGCTTGGGCTTGTGCTTGTGCATGAGGGGGCGGCTGGACCCGTGCCCCTTTCTGCACAGGATCCTGTCCATGTTCCCTTGTGGCCATTGGCAGTCTTACTTTGTGTATGTGTGTGGAAAATTTGTGGCCCTCCATATGTTTTGACCCACAGCATAAGAAATGTGGGCTTACAGGGCCCTCAGGTCAATTTGGCAGAAAATAAGTGTTAAAAAGAAAATATATGTTAAAATATGGAAAGGGTGTATTAGTCTATTGCATGAAGAGGGCTTAGCCAATATAGGCAAGGGTGAAAGAAGTGTTAGGGCAAAACATCTGGGCAGCCGCACGTTGTCCGCTCATTCCAGGCCCGTCCCAAGGGGTCTGTTTCAGAGATCGTGCGGCCAAGCAGCCCCACCCTTCGCTGTGAGCCACCCGCTCTTCCACGCAGCTGCTTCCTTCGGTCCGGCTTTGGAGATGCACGGAGGAAGGGGTGCCTTCGCTCTCCGGGCTTCCCCGGACTGTGTCCTCCTCCCCGTTCCGTTCTGCCCTTCTGGATCTTCGGGCTCGCACGTGGTGGCCTTGGCATCAGCCCCACCAGCGCTGCCGCCTCTCTCGGGCCGGGACCGTACCAGCCCTGCTGCTGGCCTCGTCCTCGCTCTGACCGCTGCGTGGTTGCAGAGGATTCTGAAGGAGACCAAGCTGATCTGCAGCACTTGTGCTGCTGACTCCCCCCGGCCCTCTGCAGCATATGGGGTGCCCTCCTAGGCCCCATTGGCAGGCTGCTTTCAGCCATGCAGGGCCCCAGTGGCCCCCCTCCTGGGCCTGCTCAGGCCCCTCTGGTGCTGAATGTCGCGGGGGCAACGCTCCTGCTGCACCTCCAGCTCGGCCTGCCTGAGGCACTGGCACGGACTGCCGGGGAGAAGCGAGGGTGGCCCAGCTCTGGCGCAAGCTGCCCGGGCCACGCGTCTCTGTGCAGGCAGCCCCCCGCCCGGCCCGGCCCGGCCCGGCCTTCGCTTGGAGTGCCGGCAGCGGAGGCGGCTGTGCTCTCGTGAGCCCCGGGGGCCCTGCAGGAGAGGCAGCCCTTGCTCACAGGTCCCCGGCAGCTGTGGGTCGCGTGCCGAGAAGGCAGGGGGTGAGCAGGGGGAGGAGAGGGTGGCAGTTCCGCAGGGGCTGCATGGCCGGGGTGGTTGTGTTTGGGCGCAGCGCCCGCTGGCATGGCTGCCTCCGCGCCAGCAGGCTTCGTGTCGCTGGCACACCAGCCAAGCAGCCGCGCTCCGGGCTGGGCAGCCTGTCTGCTGGGCTGGTGCAGGGCAGGAGGCGGGGGCACCTGTTGCAAAGGGGGGGCTCAGGTGGGGTGCGCGGATGCTCTGACCACGTGGGCCAGATGGAGCCCAGGGATCTCTCTGCGCTCTGCATTTTTGCACACACGGATCTGGAGGGATGTTTGCGAAACGGGAGAGTTCAGGAGATGGACTTTTCTGTGAGAGGAGCTTCAGGTGGACGTTGTTGTTAATCATTAACGGTGCGCTCAGTTTTGCTGCCGGAAACCCTCCCGACCCAAGGGAAAGCGTTTTGTCCTGAAGCACGAGGTGAGAGGCCCAGTGGCCGCCAGGATGCCCCCCCCCCGTGCCAGCACCTGCGCCTGGCGTGCCCCTAGCCACGCCCCCTGCAGGGCTGCAGCACCTTCCGCGGGCAAAGGCCCCAGGCGCGGGAGCAGCCCGGCAGGAGGGTGCCAGGCCTCCGCCTGCCCAGCTCCTCAGCCACCTCGGGGAAGAGGGAGCCTGAAGCCAGGCGTGGCTCGTAGCCTCAGGCGGCCTCTCCCCACAAGTCCACCATCCCGGCTGGCGGCCGTCAGCACTTCCGGGGCAGCAAAGGCCATATTTGAACTAAACGCCATGAGAAGTCCTTCCTCTTATCTGTCCTAACCCTAACCCGTCAGCTTCGTGGGATGAGCCCGGGTTCAAGTGCTATGGGAGAGGGAGAAAAATGTCCCTCACACCGTGCATTGTTTGGACACCCCACCCTGCTTCCTGACCTGCCTTTTCCCCCACGGCGGCAGCTGCTCCATGCGCGAGGCGCTCGGCTGCCCTTCTCCGCACCTTTTCCGACTGAACGATGTCCCGTTTTGGGTAAGGGGCGGCCCGACCGCAGCACTCCGCCTGCAGTCGCTCGGGTGACTTCCAGCACTTGAACTGGCAGTGCAAATTCTCCAGCTGCAGTCGAGATGCCATCTGGGACCAAAGGCTGAGCCCTCGCTGACTGAGACCTTTCATAAAATCGTCTCCTCCAAGCATTTTGCAACGAAACCTAATGGAAATAAATTTGCAACAAAATTGAAAAAGTAAAACAACTAGATGTGCCCACACATAGAATGCAGCATCAGAAAGAAGGTAAATGCAACTGATTGCAGGGATAACTATTAATAAAAGGGTTAAAAGTGCTTTCAAACCTTTGAAAGCTTCTTCAACACCCTAGAAAAATGGGAAAGCCTAGTTCTGAAAAGGTCACAGTGTCAGTACCAGGCACGCTTCCCGTGGGAGAAAACTGCAGAGCTGGAGGCCACCACGGAAAAGCCCGGAGCAAGACGTGGGGGGTGGATGCCTGAAGGTGCACAGCGGGGCTCCTTCCCTTAGCTCTGGGGGTCTGCGTGAGAGCTGCTTACAGGCTCCTTGCGCAGAAGCCACGGTGCTCCTAAAGGGATCCCGTTGGCCACTGTGGAGCCGGGATGGTGGCCACGGGGCGTCTGGCCTGACCCAACGTGGCTCTCGGGCCTGGTGGACATCGAGGGCTTCGTGCACCAACGCTGGGCTGATGGCTGGCAATTGCAAGGAATTTGAGGGGGCTCAGATGGGCAGTCCCAGATTCTGCATCAGGTGGGGCAAAGCTTGGACAACCACCTGCTGGGGATTTCATGAACGGAGCCGGGGGTCAGGCTAGATGGCCCCAGAGACCCCTTCTGACCCGCCTTGTTCCTTTGTTTCTGATCCCGCTGTGGCCGATCGATGGGCCCTGAGGTGGTGCACGAGGGACTTTCCCAGCCCTGCTTCTGCAGCAGAGGATGCGGGCAGCGGCTCGGGCCTGAGGTCTGGGGAGAGGGGCCGCTTCCCCTGCCCTGCTTGGCACCCACTGCAGGGAAGGCCCACAGTGGGGCTGCCCCGTAGCTGCTTCAGCCATTGACCTGGCCAGCGGGGAGGGGCTGGCTCTCCTGTGCTCCAGGCAGCCGTGGCCCTGGGCCCTGGGGGGCCCCAGGGAGCCCCAGGCAGGGTGGCCGGGAGCCCCGGCTCCAGCACACGCCGCGGGAGCCGTGCCTTCCACACTGGGAATGGCCAGCCGGGCTGGGCACCGGGTGGCCTCGCGGGTGCTTCGCTCTCAGGGACCCCCCCCCTTCTGCAGTCGGAGCAGGGCCTCGCTGGTGGGGGGGGCAGGGCCGCAGCGGGGCCTGTGTGGGTTGCAGGCCCAGCCGTGGGGGGGGGTGTCCTGTGCAGCCCCCACAGTAGGGGAGGGCAGCAGGGGGCTGCCTGGCCTGGGGTCTGCAGCACAGGGGTCTCTGCAGGGCCAGGCGGGCTGGCGGGGAGCTGGGAACAGCGGGCTCCCCTCCACTCCGCCTGGAGCCCATGGCCTCCGGGAGGAAGGCGGGGGTGCCCGTGGGAGCTGGGGGGAGCGGGTGGCCACAGGGTGCTGTGGGGGCAGGGATGGCCAGTTGTCGAGGGGAGTCTTCTCAAGGCCCCGTGGCCTGTCTGACGGGGGCCTCGGAAGAGGACCGGCTCCTGCCACGCGTCCCGTGGGCCCCTTGCTGCTGGGCGCCAGGGCCTAGTGCCCCCGGCCCGCAGCAGTCCATGGCTGCCTAACCCCGGCCTGCCTGCCTGCCTGCCGCCCGCCCAGGTGCCTGCAGAACTACATCCCGCCCCAGAGCCTGACCCTGTCCTGCCCCGTGTGCCGCCAGACCTCCATCCTGCCCGAGAAGGGGGTGGCCGCCCTGCAGAACAACTTCTTCATCACCAACCTCATGGAGGTGCTGCAGCGGCAGCCTGACGCGGCCGGCCACGAGGACGCCGGGGCCACCATGCTGGACTCAGTCGGCGCCGTGCCCGGCAAGCCGCTGTCCTGCCCCAACCACGAGGGGAAGGTGGGTGTTGTGCGCCGCTTGGCTGGCATGGGGGGGAAGTAGCTGCCCTTGTGGGCGGTGGGGCTCCTTCACAGGGCGCCGCAGCGGCTCCAGCACGGACCCTCCGGCGGCCCAGCGGTGGGGGAGTGGGCCGGACCCAGACCCGGACCCACGCCCACTCCCTCTCCCTCTCCCTCTCCCCACCCAGATGATGGAGTACTACTGCGAGTCCTGCGAGACCGCCATGTGCCATGAGTGCACGGCCGGGGAGCACCGGGAGCACGTGACCGTCCCCCTGCGCGACGTGGTGGAGCAGCACAAGGCCTCCCTGCGGCGGCAGCTGGAGGCCATCAAGAGCCGGTCGGTCCTGGCCAGGGCGGGGCGGGGCGGGAGGGGCGGGCGGCTGCCACCGGCCGGGGGCCCGGGCCAGGACAGGCTGGACTGAAGGGGCGTCCCCCCTCCCCTGCCAGGCTGCCCCAGCTGGCCTCCGCCATCGGGCTGGTGTCTGAGTTCAGCCAGCAGCTGATGGAGCACAAGAACGATGCCGTGGCTGAAATCGGGAGCACGTTTGCCGAGCTGGAGAAGGCCCTGCACCAGCGGAAGGGGGTGCTCGTCCGGGACCTGGAGGCCCTGTGCGGCGCCAAGCAGAAGGTAAGGCCGGGCTGCCCCCATCCCCAGAGCGGAGCCACCCCACTCCCTGGCACAGCCCCGCAGGGGGAGAAGGGCGAGGATGGGGGTGGGCCTGAACCTCCCCCAGCCCAGCCCAGCCCAGCCCAGCCTCAGCTCGCTCCCCTGAGGGCTGCCGGCCGTAGCCTGGCGGTGCCCCCTTCAGTGAGGTGCACGGAGAGCCGGTGGCCAGCCAGGAGGAGGCCCAGCCCAGCATGGCAGAGCAGCTCCTGCCCGGGAGAGCGGAGGCACTGAGCCGTCGAATTGCGGAGCTGGAGGGGGCCCGAGGCCACTGGATCCAGCCCCGCTCAGCCGGGCATCGTGGCTGTCCAGCTGCACCTTGAGTGCCTCCGGAGCATGAGGCCCCTGGGTGGCCTTTAAGCAGATGTAATCAATCAATCAATCAATCAACCATCCATCAATAGTGTGGGAGAGCCCACCTCCGTCCCAGGTAATTGGTTCCATTGTTGTACTGCTCTAAAAGTCCGAAAGCTTTTCCTGATTTCTGACCGGATCACCCACTGGCAGCAGCCGTCTTTGACTTGCTGACTGAGCCAAAGTATAGAAGGTCAGCCGCCCCGAGGTTTCGGCAAGGGGCGGCATAGAAATGTTATAATAATAATAATAACAACAACAACAACAACTGTGATTTCGTCACGGTTAACAGTAAAGTTCTGTAATTCTGTGGACCTGATTTTTGTTTTCATTATATTCAGGTGCAGCCCTGCTTTTGTACTTCCTTCCTTCTTTCACCTTCATCAGGAGTCATTTCTCTAATTGCCGTCTTCTAATTGTGAGGTGTATCACCCGCATAAATTGATGTATTGATGCATCTTCCACCAATTTTCACTCCTTCCTCTGATTCAAGCAAAGGCAGACCTGGGAAGAGGTCATTCTTGTAGCCTAGGTCCTGCAAGGGCCGCACACCAAAGCTGCCTCTGGAGGCTGTTCCCACCTGGCAAACAGGCTCCCTGCTGGTCCGGCATCCGTCGCGCCTCTCAGGTCGGCCAGACGCACTTCCAGAGACGGCCTCTTCGTTATGAGAGGCCCCCTCTTGACTTGCGTGCTGCATCGGCTGCACCGACGCGGCAAAACGAGAATAGAGGCAGAACAGGAACTCTGCTGCATCACTCGAGGCGTTGCATTATTTAAATTATATTTTTGGTAATTAGGGAAAACAGTTTCCCTAATTTTTTGTTTCTATATTTAGACTGTTAATTGATTGTTGTAAATTGCCTAGAGAGCTTTGGCTGTCGGGTGGGATAGAAGTTAAATAATGAATACGAGTGCGTAAACGGCAGCTTCTTATCCGTGAGTACACCCCATTTCTTCCAGAACCAGCCGTAGCTTCTCAGGATCCATACAGTTGAAGGCTTTGCTGTTGCCTAGAAAGCACAGACCAATCTTCCTCTGAAATTGTCTGGTGCCAGCGCATACCTGCGCGACTGCCTCTTCCTCTTCGGCACCCAGCCGGAACGGCAGCGTGCCTTGCGCCACATTGGCGGTGCTCTTGGTTGCAGCCCTTCGAGCATCACTCTGCTCATGTTCGAAACGGAGGCAGCGATCCTCTGGTGCGTGCGCTGCTTTGCATCCGCTTTCTTGAGGACTGGGACGTCTGTGGAGCATGTCCCGTCCGTGGGCCAGTTTTGTTTTCCGTATTTATTGACATAATCTTGAGAGAATTTGGACCGATTGATTTTCTGCAGCTTGGAATAGTGATGTTGGTACCCCCTCCACTCCAGGTCCTCGGCCCTTTGCCAGCGCTCGCAGAGCAGCCTTCTAATACTGCAGACTCTTCTTCAAAAGATTCCTCCTCTAGGGCATCTGCCATCCTTTCATCTCTTCTGTTAAGTTCTCTTGTATATAGAAACACAGAAACAGAGCAAGTCAGAAGTGGTCTCTCGGGCCATCTAGTCTGACCTCCGGCACCAGCTGGCTCCGCTCACGACATGCCCACCGTATGCATGTCCAGCCTATCCTTGAACACCCACACCGATGGGGCCTCAACCACCTCGTGTGGAAGCCCACTCCACGCCCTAGCGATCCTGACTGTCAGGAAGTGCTTCCTGGCACCCAAATTGAACCTTGGTTTCCTGAGCTTGGCTCCGTTGGAGCGCGTCCTTCCTTCCTCTGCAGGGGAGAACAGGCCTCTGCCCACCTTCCCTTTGTTTTCTCCTGGTGAGATAGTATGTTCACTTGTTTGCCTGTTAGCATTTCTAATCTGGGTTGGATTTCCCTTTGATCTCTTGTTTCTCCTCTTCTGTTGTTCTCGTCTATTTCTTTGCACTCCTCCTTCCCATGGTTCTTTTGGTCTCTATGTGATGGTGTTCTGGAGTCTGACTCTCTTTCTGCTACCTTTTGCTTATCCATCTTGCCTGCCCTTGGCCGTTGTGAGTTGTTCTTCTGTCACCCATTTAGGGCTTTTCTTCCTTTTGGCTGCAGGAGTTTCCATTCTCAGCACCTGGAAACTCCTAACTCGGAACTTGCCCTTTCCCAGTGCTGCTGCGAATCTCACTGGCCCCACCATGGAGCCTCGAGGGAGCCCGCTGTCCACTCCCCCCGGCACGAGGATTGCCCACCCCTTCTCTGGCACTTCTTCTGGGATCGCTACAGGGACTCCGGAGTCTCTGGGCAAGGGGCATGTTCTCCTGGCCCAAACCGAGCTGTGGTTTGGAAGAGCAGAAGCTGGCGCGCTTCCTCACCACGTCCTCTTCAGTGCTAATGATTCTTTTCTGTGGCGTTGCTGTTGTTGTTGCTGCTAGTTGCGAAGTCACGTCCGACCCATCGCGACCCCATGGGCAACATTCCTCCAGGCTCTCCTGTCCTCCGCCATCCCCCGGAGTCCACCTAAGCTCACGCCGACTGTTTCAGTGACCCCATCCAGCCACCTCATCCTCTGCCATCCCCTTCTCCTTTTGCCATCTATTGTTCCCAGCATCAGGCTCTTCTCCAGGGAGTCCTTCCTTCTCATTAGGTGGCCAAAGTATTTGAGCTTCAGCTTCAGGATCTGGCCTTCTAAAGAGCAGTCAAGGTTGATCTCCTCTAGGACTGACTGGTTGGATCGCCTTGCAGTTCAAGGGACTCGCAGGAGTCTCCTCCAGCACCACAATTCAAAGGCCTCAATCCTTCGGCGCTCAGCCTTCCTTATGGTCCAGCTTTCACAGCCATACATTGCAACTGGGAAAACCATAGCTTTGACTATATGGACTTTTGTTGGCGGGGTGATGTCTCTGCTTTTTAGTACGTTATCTAGATTTGCCATAGCTTTCCTCCCCAGGAGCAAGTGTCTTTTAATTTCTTGGCTGCAGTCCCCATCTGTGGTGATCTTGGAGCCAGGAAAATAGAATCTGTCACTACCTCCTTTTCTTCCCCATCTGTTTGCCAGGAAGTGAGAGGACCGGATGCCATGATCTTAGTTTTCTTGATGTTGAGTTTCAAGCCAACTTTTGCGCTCTCCTCTTTCACCTGCATCAAGAGGTTCTTTAGTTCCTCTTCACTTTCTGCCGTTTTCTGTGGCATAGAAATGGACAAACAGAGGCTTGCCCTTGTTCTGATTCAAAGCTATGGCTTGACGTGGGGATCCCTTCACTGTGGAGAATGCGTGATAGGAACTGTGTCTGCCCGTTTGCTGGTGCTGGCAGGAAATGGAGACAGTGGGGAGGAGGCAGCGGCACTGAGCAAGTGCGGGTGCCTCATTCGTGACCCTCTGGACTGTTCGGTCACGGAGGATGGCCTGGGCAGAGCCGGTGCCCACCAGAAGACTTCTGTGGCAGTGGAGATTCAGGGCTTGCTAAGAGCTTGGTGTGGCAAGCTTTCCTTTCCGTGAGCCTCCCCTCCGCTCCGCTCCGGTGCACTGGTGCTGGATTTGTGAGCGCTTCGCCCCAGTTCAAAAGGCTGTCAGGCTGTTGGGCTGGCACGTTCCTAAATCCAACGGCCCCCTTGCGAGAGGGTGCTGCTACCGACGTGGGGGGCTTCGTGGCTGGGGGAGGGCCAGGGGCGGCCCGGCCGTGGCGGCCTCGCTCCTCCTGTGCGGGGCTGTGGACAAGGCCACCCCGGCACCCCTGCCCACGCCCAGGGCCGCTCGCCCCCGCAGGTGCTGCAGGCCCAGCTGGACACGCTGCGCCAGGGCCAGGAGAACATTCTGAGCAGCTGCAGCTTCACGGAGCAGGCGCTGGACCACGGCTCGGAGACGGAGGTGCTGCTGGTGCAGAAGCAGATGAGCGAGCGCCTGAGCGAGCTGGCGAGCTGCGAGTTCCCCGAGCAGCCCCACGAGAACGCGCAGGCGGACTTCGTGGTGGAGACGGAGGGGGTGCGCAAGTCCATCCTGAACCTGGGCGTGCTGCTCACCACCAGCGCCATCGCCCACAAGACGGTGGCCACCGGGGAGGGGCTGCGCCACGCCGTGGTGGGCCAGCCCGCCTCGCTCACCGTCACCACCAAGGACAAGGATGCCGAGCTGGTGCGCAGCGGCGGCGCCTGCCTGCAGGCCGAGGTGGCGGCGCCCGACGGCACGGCCGTGGAGCACGAGGTGCTGGACAACAAGAACGGCACCTACGAGCTGCTGTACACGCCGCGCCACGAGGGGGACCACCTGCTCTCCATCCGCCTGTACGGGCAGCCGATCCGCGGCAGCCCCTTCCGCGTCAAGGCCGTCAAGGCCTCCGACGTGCCGCCCTCCCCCGACGACGTCAAGCGCCGCGTCAAGTCGCCCAGCAGCGGCCACATCCGCCAGAAGGCCGTGCGCCGCCCCTCCAGCATGTACAGCAGTGGCAAGAAGAAGGAGAACCCCATTGAGGACGAGCTGATCTTCCGCGTCGGTCAGTGCGCGGGGGGGGGGGGGGGGCGCCTGTCCATGGGCAGCCGGTGGGAGAGGGGCACAAAGGGGGGGAGCTGGGCAGCCCGGGCCTCTCCAGGGATGCCTCTCCGTGTGGTGGGCCAGGCCCCGTGTGCCAGGTGCTGTACAGGCAGGCTGGCCACAAAGGAGGGCGACACGCGTGGACCGGGGTGGGCTCAGGTAAGGAAAACCGGGACCGGTGGGGGCGGGGAGGCCCTGTGTCACGGCGGTTCCTCTCCCACTTGACCGGCTGATTCCAGGAGGTGGTGCTGGGGACGCGCCATGCAGCCACGCCGTGGGTACCCCAGGGCTGCATTTTGTCCCCCGTGCTATTTGGCATCAGCACGAGGCGTCTGGGGAGGCTGTGCCTCTCGGCTCTGCCTCTTCTCCCTCAAACCAGCTGAGGCACTGGCTGCTCCACATCGGCGCCTGAGCATGGCAGCGGACTGGCCGAGGGCCAGCGCCCGGGATGCCGTCCAGGCACGGAGGGAGGCGCAGCTGGTGGGGTGGCGGCTCCGCTGTCCCGCTGGGAGATGCTCGGCCTGTCCTGGCGGGGCTGCACTCCCCCTGGGGACACGGTTCGCGGTCGGGGGCGCTCCTGGACCCGGAAGTGTCACCCGGTGCCGTGGGGCACCTGCCGTCCGCTCGTGCTGCTGTGCCAGCGACGGCCCCACCTGGGCAGAGGGGCCCGGCCGCAGTCGTCCATCTCTGGCCGCCTCTCCTCGGGTTGCTCCATGTGCCGCGCGCGGGCCGGCCTTTGGAAACAGCCTGGAGAGTCGGCGTGACGGAGACTGCCGGACAGCAAGGCTGCTGCCGGGGCGGCTCGCAGGGGCCGCCATGCCAGTCCTCGGCCAGCCGCACTGGCCGCTAGTTGAAGTCTGGGTCCTAAGCAGTGTAGGACCTGAGGGTCTCAGGGAGTGTCTCCATCCCTACAAGCCTAACCAGGCCCTAAGATCTCCCTCTGGGGCCCTGCTCTGGGAGCCTCCTTTGAAGGACCGTCACGCCAGCCACAGCCCCGCTGACGGAAGTCCAGGCCCAGCTCAAAGTGCTTCGAAGCCCTGCATGGCGTGGGGCCGGCCCGTCTGAAGGATGGCTCCTGCCATATGTACCTGCCTGGACCCAGGGGTCATCTCTGGGGGTCCTTCTCCCAGAACCCTTCCAAGGAAAGTGAGGCTGGGCGCCACTGGCAGGGGGGCCTTTTGATGGCGGCCCCCACTTGCGGAGTGAGCCCCCAAGGAGATGTGCCTGCACCTCCCTTGCTTCCCCCAAGAGGCACTGGGGACGACCCTCTGCTCTGCTCTGCTCTGCTCTGCGCTGCCGCCCTGCTGCTTGCCGATTCGGTTGCAGCTGCGGGTGTCTGACGTCCTCGTCCGTTTCACGTTTGTTCGCTACCCAGAGAGCCTTGGCTGTGGGGGTACAAAATTAAGCCGGTGGATCGGACGTGGCGGGGGGGCCCTGCCCCGGAGCGCGTCTTCCCAGGCTGCTCCTGGCTGACGGCGCCTTCCCCCCGCAGGAACCCGGGGCCGGGAGAAGGGGGAGTTCACCAACCTGCAGGGGATCTCCACCTCCGGCAGCGGGCGCATCGTGGTGGCCGACAGCAACAACCAGTGCGTGCAGGTAGGGCCCCTGCCCCCCCCCCCACGGCCACCCCGGCTGCCGGCGGCCTCCTGACACCCCTGTGCCTGCAGGTCTTCTCCAACGAGGGCCAGTTCCGCCTGCGCTTCGGGGTGCGGGGCCGCTCCCCGGGACAGCTGCAGCGGCCCACAGGGGTCACCGTGGACCTCAACGGGGACATCATCATCGCGGACTATGACAATCGGTGGGTGAGCATCTTCTCTCCAGAAGGCAAGTTCAAGGTGAGCACCCTGGTGAGGCGGGAGCCCCCAGCCGAGGGGCACAAAGGCTCGCCCGGCGGCGGGGCTGGGGTGGGGGGGGCACAGAAGCAGAGCGAGCCGGGAGAGCCTCCCCGGGCATCGGCCCCCACCCGGCCCCCGCCGGAGCCGCCCACACCGTCCCCCCGCCTGGACCCGCAGTTGCGGCTTCTCTGCTCGAGGCGGACGTGCCGGTGCCCCGGGGCCGGAGGGCAAGCCAGGACAGGCCGCGCCAGGGCGTGCCAAGGGCCATGCGGCGCTGACAGGCAGGGCGCTCAGGAGGCCGGGGCCACTGTGGGCCGGGCCGTGCGTCCTCCGGGCGCCTCTCCAGAGGCTTGGGCGGGGAGTGGCCTTCGCTCGCTGCCCCCGAACGGAGATGCCGCCGGGGCTGCGAGGGCCCTGGCGCGCTCTCCCTGCTGTGCTGCGAGGGGTGCAGGCCTGGCGGCCCCCGCAGCTCCCCGGTCACGGGTTCTTCGCCACCGCTTTCCTCGCAGACCAAGATCGGGGCAGGCCGCCTGATGGGCCCCAAGGGCGTGGCGGTGGACCGCAACGGCCACATCATCGTGGTGGACAACAAGGCCTGCTGCGTCTTCATCTTCCAGTCCAATGGGAAGATCGTGACCAAGTTCGGCAGCCGCGGCACGGCCGAGCGCCAGTTTGCAGGTAGCCGGGCCAGCAATGTGCTGGCAGGGGCCGTCTCGCACCTGCGTGCCCCCGGGCCCCTCTTTCTGCCTGGGCCGGCGGCCCTCGAGCGCCCACCTGTGCTTCCTGATTTGCGCTGCCGGAAAGGATGTCCCCTCAGGCCTCCACCAGTGACTCTGACCGGTGGCCACTGAGTTGTGTGGCCACTGGCCCTTCCCTCCTCGTGGCCAGTGCAGCTTCCTGGCCAGGAGATCAGCAGAGCCCTCCCGTTCTGTGGCCGCTTAATTCATTCAGTAGAGGTGCCCTTGTGTGGAGGGACAGATGTGGCTGTCAGCATGGGAGGAAGCACCGTCGGCCAGAAAGCTCTATTGCATTAGCGTTCGGTTATTGTGTGTCGTTTTTCCCCGACGGCACGCTAATATGAGAGACAGAGAGAGCAGGTATGTGGCTTGGCGTCCTGCAACGGCCTTCAGGGCCCTGCCCGCTCTCCGCTTCCGCGATTCCACGAGGGAGGGAGGGAGGGAGGGAGCGCGAGGAGCGCTGCAGGATCCACGGGGATCTCCTTCCCCTTTGTGCTGAAGCCGCGCGCGGCACTGCTCTGCTCTGCTCTGCAAGCACATTTCTTTGTGGACGGCCGAGAGCACGGGCCAGGCTGGCCCACGGACACGGCCAGGGCTGCGCTCGCTCCCGCGTGCGAGGCCCCCAGGCCCCGGGGCCTTTTGCCCTGCTGGGGCTGTGCAGGGCGGGGGGCCTCTTCCTCACTGGCCGGCAGGCAGGCAGGCAGGCAGGGGAGATCCACGCAGCCCGCCGGGCCTCCTGCTGCCGAGGGCCCTCTCTGCGCCCCCCACCGTGCCCTGCCCCGCCCCGCCCCGACTGACCCACTGACCGCGGGGCCGGGCCGGGTCACTCGCTCCTCGCCTCTCCCCTCAGGGCCGCACTTCGTCGCCGTGAACAGCAAGAATGAGATCGTGGTGACCGACTTCCACAACCACTCGGTGAAGGTGGGGCTGCGTGCAAGCCGAGCGCACAGGCGCCTGCGGCCGGCTCCGCTCGCACAGGGGCCACTGCCGCCCCGCCGCACTGCTGTGAGCAGGAGGGCCGGGGCACTTCCGGGCAGCGGCCTGGCCTTGCATCCCGGGGCCCGGGGCCCGGGGGGGAGGGCTGCCTCGGCGAGTGGGTCCCCAGGGTTCCGTGGCACCCATGCCGCTCCACGTGCAAATGGTCTGCCCCCAGCAGGGGAGCTCGTGGTGGTCGTTCCCACGTACGGCCGGCACCGGATGTCCGCCGAGGACCAGGGGTGCGGAGGATGGTGGCCGGTGGGGAGGGGGAGCCGCGGGGCTGAGGCCGGGGGTCTGTGCGTGCTCCGCTTAGGCCCTCCCTCCCCTCCGCCACCGGGAGGCAAGGCGCATGGGGCCGGCCAGCCAGCCGTTGATCTGCCCACCCCCGCAGGTCTACAGCGCCGACGGAGAGTTCCTCTTTAAATTTGGCTCCCACGGTGAGGGCAACGGGCAGTTCAATGCCCCGACGGGGGTGGCTGTGGACTCCAACGGGAACATCATCGTGGCCGACTGGGGCAACAGCCGGATCCAGGTACTGCCGGTGCTGGCGGGGAATGGCCCCCGGTGCTCCACCGGGTCGCCCTCCTGGAAGTGGGGGGGGGGGCTGAGCCAGTGGCCTGCCCCCTGTGCACACTCGGGCGGTGCCGTGGCCGCCGCCGGTTTCGAGGGAGCCCTGGGCCGGCCCCCAGATGTGTGAGGGAAGCTGCCCCCCCGGGCTTCCCAGTGCTTGGAGCAGCGCTCCCCTCCTGGTTGCTGCATACCTCTGGGCTGAGTCTTCCTGCTGCTAAAAATAGGCGGTGGGGCTGTACGTCCCTTGGCAGCTCTGCTGCAGCCTTTTCTGGGCAGCTGCCGCCGCTCTTTCCCCAGCAGGCAGGAGTCCCCGATCACATGGGTGCAAGGAGCAGCCTGGCGGGTCCATGGACCCCGCTGGCACCCTCGAGGGGGACGGCACTGGCCAGCCAGAGGCCCCCGGCAGCTTCCAGCCAGGCGGGAGGCACCGGGCCCAGCTCCCCCTCCGTGGCCTGCCCACAGCAGCTGGTCTTAGCAGGACACGGCCCTCCCCTGCGCAGGCCCCATGGAGCGCTTTTCCGGGAGCTGCCGGAGCCACTGGCTGTGGCCGCATCTGGCGGCGTGAAATGCGTGTGCATCGCATGCTGCACAGAGCCCTTCCTTGGCTGCCTGGCAGCCCCTGCCAGGTGATCCCATGAGGGGGGAGCTTTTCTCCCGTGGACCCTCCCCACAAAGCCCACGGGCTTATCCTTCGCCCTTGTCACCCCAAAGGGGCCCTTCCATTCTCCGAAGCCCCGAATGGGCCGCGTCCCTGATGGGAAAGGAGCTGCGTGGGTCGCTGCCCCCGAGCCTCCCTGAGAGGGCGGGCCAGAGCGGCACGCCTGGGATCCTGCCTCCGGCTGCTCCGGACCTTTGCCGGGACGTGGCACGGCCGGGCCGCGCTCGGGGACGGGAAGCATGGCGCTCCCCCTTTGCTCCCCCTGACTCTCGCCCCCTCCCCGCCAGGTTTTCGACAGCTCGGGCTCCTTCCTGTCCTACATCAACACCACGGCGGACCCGCTGTACGGGCCGCAGGGCCTGGCGCTCACCTCGGACGGACACGTGGTGGTGGCGGACTCCGGCAACCACTGCTTCAAGGCCTACAGATACCTGCAGTAGCCGCGGGGGGCAGGCTGGGCGGCAGGGGGCGCTCGAGTCCCCACGGCCCCCTCCCTGCCCACCTGCCGGCACTATGGACAGCGGGGCCGGGGCAGAGCTGGCCCCTCGGCGGGGCCGCCTCTGGGTGCCGCTCGGGCTCCGCACGCGAAGGAGCCGAGGCAGCCACGGGCCGAGTTCTGGCGCTTCCTGGGGTGTGTGTGGGAGCTGCTCTGCCTGGCTTCTCCACAGGGGCCACGGGGGGCGAGGGGCGGCCCCTGCACAGAGCCCATGGCAGCTGCTGCGCTGCGCCCCGGAGGCCCCTGCCCTCTCTGCCTCCTGCCCCGAGGGGCCCAGAGCCGCGGGAACTGGCCCTTCCTCCTCGGTGGGCCCCGCAGTGCCCGACACGGCCCGCCTTCCCAGCCTGGATCTTCTCTGCACTTTATCTCTGTCCAGGAGGGAGGCCGAGGCACCCCTCCGCCCTCCGCCCGGGGAAGGGCGGGCAGAATCCGCAGCCCGTCGTCCAGCCACGGGGATGGGGCACCGGGGAGAGGCCTCCAAGCCAGGCAGGAAGGGACAGGGGGTGCCCCCCCCGGGCAAGTGCCATGGGGGCTGTGCAGCAAGCGGAGAGGCCTGGCCCCCTTGAAGCAGGACGCTCTGCCTGCCTTGCTCAGGTGGGTGGCCGACTGGAGCCCCGCGCCATGGCATGAGGGACTGCAGCCGCGCGGGAGGCCAGCCTGCCGGCGGAGCGAGGCAGTGCTTCCCGTGGCTGCAGGCTGGATGGACGGACAGGTGCCTGCCGGAGCCGGGCCTGGCCCAGCTTCCTGCCCGCCGGCCGGGGTCCGGGGCGGTTGCGCTCCCACGGCAGCAGAGCGGCCTCCCGCAGGCGCGCCTCCTGGTCCCCCAAGGCCTGTGGCCACTCTGCAGGCCGGCAGGGGCGGGCACTGAGGGGCTCTCCAGATGAGCTGCCCCCTCGGGAGAGCCGGGGGGGGGCTGATTTGGCGTGCTTTTCCCCCGCGGCCAGGGCTGTCCCTCTTCTTCCTCCTGCCTTCCTCCCAGGACCTGAACCAGCCCCTTTGGCTCGCAGCAGGAGCATTGCAGCCGCGGACGGAGCTGCTCTCGTCCGCCCCCTCTCCCCACAGCCTTCCACACACACTCCAGATGGGCCGGGCTGGGCTGGGCTGGGGCAGCCATGTGCTAACAAAATGTATGTAAAGATAAATAAATGAATAAATGAATGAATAAATAAATAAAATGTATTCTGAAAGGTGGGTGACTTCCCGTTTCTGCAGGAGATGGCTCTGGCGCTGCGGCCATGCCTTGCTCGGCCCACGGCATTTGCCCCTTGACCCGTTGCCGCGAAAGCAATGAGCTCGTGGGGTGCGTGCCGGGCAGAGGCTCCAAACGGGACAAGCGCTCAAGCGGACGCCACGGAGAGCTGGGGGGCTGCTGGCGGGAGCCGAGGGTCGGGTGGCGTTGTGCCACCGCTGCTCCTGCCCCCCAGCAAGCGCCCTCTGGCTGCCCTGGCTCCTGCCCCCACAGCAGCCCTGTGGGGCAGGAGGCCGTCGCCCCCTCCCCTGCACACTTCGAGGGTGGGCGCTCCTGGTCCTGCTCGTGGTGGCAGCACGCGGCCGACAGGGCCAGTATCGGCCAGTGAGCCCCTCTACGAATTTGCCCAGTCGAGCCACGCAGTCGGCAGTCCTTCAGCTGGGGGGCCCCGTTCTCGCAGCCGCTCGTCTCCTCTTGCCTGCCCGGCGTTTCCTGCCGTGCCGCATCAATGGGCAAACACCTGAGCAGAAAATGCTCTTCCGACCCAACTTCTCCGCGCCACAAGCAGCCGCCTTCTCTGCACTTTATCTCTGTCCTGGGCTGCTCTCTTGGGCTGGCTGCTCTGACTCCCCCGGGGTCCATTTTGCCGCTCTTCCAGTATCCCTTTTGAGGTGCAGGAAGCCGAACAACGCACGCCGTCCCACGGTGCTCATGCCAGACATACGGGACTCTGGTGCACAACTGCCCTTCGCACGGCTGCTGCCAAGGACCACGTTTCCGCGCCGCTTTCAGCAGGGCCTCAGGCCGCCTCTGCCAATGGAGTGGCCCTGCTCCCCGCTTCCTGGGGTGGCCTGCCCGAGTGCCCCAGTTGCCGAGGGCCTGGGGCAGGAGGAGGTTCCCCTGCCCTGCCGGAGGATCCCGGGGGCAGCTGGCTTGCTGCCGTGTGTGCGGAGTGCTGGACAGGGGGGCCTCGGCCTGATCCAGCAGGACCTCCCTTGTGCTCTTAAGGAGCCAGTGGGCTTGTGGCCACCAGCAGCCTCCACCCGCTGCCCTGAGTCTGCCTGTCCCCTTTTAAAGTGACCGCCAGCACTTCCTGGGCAGCAAAACCCACAGTTCAGCTCAACCTGGGGCTTCTTTCTGTGTACCCTGCACTTTCCGCCAGTCGTCTTTCTGGGATGGCCCCGGGTTTGAGTGCTATGGAGGAAGGAGGAAAATGTTCAGAATTAAACCCCTTTATCAGGTCTCCCGACTTCGAAGCAAAATAGCCCCAGTTGTTGTAGGTGCTCAAGCCCTGCTTCATCCTCATTACCCTCATCCGGACCCCAAATCATCTCCAATTCCTAACTCAGCAGTGTCCTTGTTCCGGTGGGACAACCAGATCTGAACGTGGCATTTCAAGTGCGGTGGCACCGGGGACTTGTGTAAGGGGGGCGAGATCTCGGCAGCTCCGTTTTCTCTCCCGCTCCTAATTCTGCCCCGACTGGAGCTTGCTTCTGGCAGCAGCCGCACCCTCGGCCACCGTTCGAACCGTGCGGTCCACCCCCGCCCCAGGCCCAGCCGTGCAAGCGCCGAGCCCCTCCGCATAGTCTCGATGCTGGGCTGCTCCGGCCCCACGTGCCTGGCTCCGCGCTTGCATGCACCTTGGAGGGATCCTTTGGAGAGCCCCCCAGTCTTTTCTGGTTTAAACCATCCTAAACACACTGCTTGCTGCAAAGTCCAGCCCGTTTATGAATAGCCTGACAAGGACTGGTTCCTGCAGGAGTCTCTCGGTTGCATTGTCAGTTGTTCTCACTGTTTTTTGTTCTTTAGTCAGTGATCCACAAGAGAACCTCCCCTCTTATTCTGTGAGTGCTACATTTGGCATCCGACCTATCACTTCCAGGCAAATAGATGGGGAAGAAATGGAGGTAGTGACAGATTTTATTTTCCTGGGCTCCAAGATCACCACAGACAGGGACTGCAGCCAAGAAATTAAAAGATGCTTGCTCTTGGGGAGGAAAGCTATGGCAAATCTAGACAGCATACTAAAAAGCAGAGACATCACCCTGCCGACAAAAGTGCGTATAGCCAAGGCGATGGTTTTCCCAGTTGCAATGTATGGCTGTGAAAGCTGGACCATAAGGAAGGCTGAGCGCCAAAGGATTGAGGCCTTTGAATTGTGGTGCTGGAGGAGACTCCTGCGAGTCCCTTGGACTGCAAGGTGATCAAACCGGTCAGTCCTAGAGATCAACCCTGGCTGCTCTTTAGAAGGCCAGGTCCTGAAGATGAAACTCCAATACTTTGGCCACCTAATGAGAAGGAAGGACTCCCTGGAGAAGAGCCTCATGCTGGGAACAATTGAGGGCAAAAGGAGGAGGGGACGGCAGAGGATGAGGTGGCTGGATGGGGTCACTGGGGCAGTGGGTGTGGGCTTGGGTGGACTCTGGGGGATGGTGGAGGACAGGGGGGCCTGGAGGAGTGCTGTCCATGGGGTCGCGATGGGTTGGACACAACTTCGCAACTAAACAAACCATGTCCCTTTGGTGAGGACTTTGTCAAAGGCCTTTTGGAAGTCCAGGTCTACTGCATCTTGCCATCCACGTGCTTCCTGACACACTCGTAAAGTCTAATACTATGCTGAGTGAGACTTTCCTTTGTGGAAGCCACGAGGAGCCCTTTCCTGTGTGCTGAGGGATTCTATCCTTAATGACACTTTCAACTACTTTACCAGGGCAGACTTAGAAACATAGAAACAGAACGAGTCAGAAGGGGGTCCCCGGGCCATGTAGTCTGACCCCCGGCTTCAGCTGGCTCCGCTCCAGACTTTAAGCTAACCAGCCTGTTAAATCCTGAATCCCACTGGATCCCCTTTCAAACATGGCATTTCACTGCCCAGTTACCAATCCTCTGGTAAAGAGGCTGATTGTGGCGCCATGTTACATACTTTGGTAAGAAGGCCAGCAATTTCTTATTTGATTTTTTAAGAACTCCAGGATGGACACGGGGTGGATCTGACGATTTACTGATTCTCCGTTTGTCAGGAAGGCTGAATTCCATTGTGTGTCATTATTTGCCTCGATTCCTTGCACTCCCTTTCTGAGCAAGTTCAGGCGCAGGCGTCTGTCCCGCATCTCCTGCTGTGACGCCAGATGCAAAGGACTCGCCTCACTTCTCTGCCACCTCCTCACGCGCCTTCAGCGCTCCGTGAACGGCTCGGCCGCCAGTGATCCAGCTGCCCCCGCGGCTGGTTCCTTCTGATATAAACAATTACTCAGCGTCGTTCATAGGATGCTCCCCAAAATGTTTTTCTGCGTTCATCCTCTGCTGGCACCTCCCTTGTGCAAACTGCGTGCCTTTTTCCCCATTGGAAAATGCCTCCGTTTTCTGCAGAAAGCCGCGTCTCTGCCATGGCCTTGGCGGAGACTTCATGGGAGGCCTCTGGGAGCAGCAATGTCCGCCGCATCATGCGGCTCTCGCCACTCTCGCAAACCCGTCCGCGAGATGCGCGGGGCCCTAAGGAGCCTTTTCCCCGGGCCGGTCCAGCAGCGCATCCCGGGAGCCTCGTCCAGGGAGGGGAAAGGGCAGCCCGGCCGCGCCGGCGCAGCGCAGTCCTGGGGCTGAAGCGCGCTGCTTCCCGCAGGGCCGCCTTCTCCGCTCGCCCACTAATTCAGCATTTCAGCCCTTCGCCCCGTCGCAGCCTGAACCCTTCGGCCGCCGACCCGGGAGACGCTTCCGCTCAGCAGCCCGGGATGGCCCCGCGCCTTTGCCAGCGTCTTCCGAGAGCTCTCGGACGGGGCCGCACGAGCCGGGCTAGCGCCGCCGCCGCCGCCGCCGCCGCCCCCCCGGCTCCCGCGAAGACGCGGCGCCCCGCCCGCAAAGCGCGGCCAGCGCAGCTTCCCCGAGAGGGACGCCGGCGCCGGCCGCCTCCACCGGCCCGGCTCGGGCGACTCCCAACGGGCCGGGGGGGCGGCGGCGGCGGCGGCGGCGGCGCTAGCCCGGCTCGT